TGGGGAAGAGTCATCATTCAGATTAATTTAGATAACCCACAGTATCTGGTAAAAGAGAGAGTAGCCCAGAATAGAAAATGTTTTTCTTTACAGTGCTGCTGACTTATTTCAATATGTCCTGCCAAATTTTCTTCAGTCTGCATTGAGGTTAACAACACCTGTAGACAGACAGGGATCCTAATGATACGAAAAGTTGTGAAGTTCAACAGTTTTGTAGGAACATGAAATCTTAACATTGGAAAACAGACTGATAAGATCTCTCTACTCCCAACTGTCCACAGAACAAATGGTTACTCACAAACACCCTGGGTAACTAGTTAAGAGCAGCATCGATAGAACTCATCTTTCTAGATTTTCACAACCTTAATATTTTTTCAACAAAATATTCCTGAAGATGATTTCTGTAGTGCATTCTAAACAGGCATGCCTCCAAAATACTTTTAAGATAGATAAGCAATAGAAATAATCAGATTTTCAACATTTCCTTTTCTCTGGTAAAATGAATTCAGTTTATCATAAAAATCATTAATTGAATTAAATGGAGAAAGGCATCAAGATTAGAGAGAAAGAAGTAAAACTTTTTATTTGCATACTAAGTTATTGTGAATGCAGAAAATCATAAGAAATATACAAAAAAGCTACTACTAAAACTACAAAGTAAATTTAGTAAAGTTTATAAAGTCAACCTACAAAAAAATTACTGTATTTCTACATACTAGTAACAAATAATTGGAAAAGGTAATTTAAAAATCAATACTATTTACAATGGTATTGAATATCAAAACAGTGTGGTTTTAAAATAACTATGAACAAATAGACTAAAAGAAAGAAAAAGTACAGGTCCAGAAAATTTCTGACATGTGATAAATAGTCTAATGAATTTTCAGAATTATTGGTTGTTAGTCACTGTATATGGTACTACAGAAAAAACAAACAAACAAAAAAACCCCTGAAGGAAACAAAATCCCTTGCTATAAGGGCTTATAATAAATACACAGTGTGGAGATGAAAAAAAAAATAGACTAATAGAAAAGAATTGAATGTTCAAAAAGAGACCTGTGCGTATCTGGTGAATATGTTTTAAACAACAATCCAAGGCAAATCAATGGAGAAAGAAAGGTCTTTTCAACAAATAGCACTGGAAAATCTGTGTAAATATATGTGAAAAAACAAAAATAAAATTTTGACCCTTTCCTCACCATGTACAAATTTGATTTGAGATGAATACAGACCTGAACTTAAAACTAAAATCCTAAAGGCTTTAGAAGAAAAAAAAATTGAAGAATATTTATATGACTTGAGGCAGAAAAGTATTTTTTAGAGAACACAAGTACTAACTTTATCAAACTTTAAAACTCATCCAAAGATACCATTAAGAAAATGAAATAGAAAGCTACAGACTGGAAGACAATACTTACAAAGCTCCTACTGGACAAAGGTTTAGATCCTAAATATATAAAGAACTCATTGATAAAAAAAAAATTTTAACGGAAAAATTTTGGAATTCACACTTAAGAAAGGAGATACAGCAAGGCAAATAAGCACATGAAAGGATGCTCAACATCCTTAGTCATCAGGGTTTGCAAATTAAAACCAGAATGAGGTGCTACTTCATATGCACTAGAAGAGCTAAATGAAAAAGACTCTCAGAAAATGGTAATAGGGGTATACAATAGCACAACCTCATTGGAAAACTGTATGGCAGTGTCTTAAGTTAAACATACACCTACATCATCATCTATTCCATTCTAAAGTATTTGCCAAAGAAATGAAAACATGTCTACACAAAGACTTGTTCAGAAATATATAATACAGCTTTATTAATAATGGCCAAAAAGTATTTAAAAAAAACCCACAGACTAGCAACAGAAAAACAAATAAACAAAAATGTGACATATCACATAATTAACTACTGACCCATGCAAAACATGAAATGTCCTCAAAAACATCATGTTGAGTGAAAGAAGTTAGACACAAAAGAGTACATACTCTATTATTCTATCACTAGAGGCCCAGTGCACAAATTCGTGCACGGATTGGGTCCCTCGGGGTGGCCTGCAGGGATTGGGCCCCAGCTTGCAACCCTAGGCTTGCAGCCCCAGCTCGAGCCCCCAACCTCGCAGCCCCACAGCCCCACCTGGCACTCTGCTGTGGCCTGGCACCGCCCCCTCACCTGCTTCACCATCCCACCTGCGGGGCGATGGATAGGAGCCAGCCTGGTTCCCTCAGCACCTGGGAGCTGGAGAGTGGCCTCGCCCCCTCTGCCGCTGCTTGTCGCTGTCTGCGGGACAGCGGTGCAATCAGGCACCCGCTTGCATCTACCTTGGCCTGGTGCTGCCCACTCGCCTGCTCCACCATCCCGCTGCAGCCCCACTCTCATCAGGGCCGATCAGGGCTGGCAGCACCTCCACTGCCACCCACTGACAGCACCACGTCTCTGATACCTGCCATGTTCCACGCCGTCACCTGGTGGTCAGCGCATATCATAGCAAGCAGTCAAACTCCCGGTCAAACTCCTGGTCGAACAATTTGCATATTAGGCTTTCATTACATAGGATGGGAAAACCAGACAACACTAATCTCTGGTTCTAGAAATCAGTGCAGTGGTTGCCTATCAAGAAGGCAACCTAACTAGTTGCCTTCTAGTTGCCTAACTAGAAGGAGACTCAATAGAACTTTCTGAAATGGTGGAAATACTCTATCTCTTGTTTAAGTTGATGGTCACATGACCAAATGATAGTCACATTTGTCTAAACTCATTGACCTATGCCTTTAAGATTTGTGTATTTTGCTGTATGTATGGACCTCAATAAAAAGAGAAGAAAAGAAAAATAATCACGTAGAAAATCAGGCTCAATTCTTATTGTCCATGCCCCAAAACATAAAGTGGCATCTATAATATAATTTCTAATTAATAATATAATTACTCACTGAAGACTTCCTATATACTAGGAACCTTTTTGGGTAAGCATATTTAAGGGTTTTTTTCTCATTTTATCCTCAAGATAACCATATAAAGGCACATTTTTTATCATCACCCCATCCCCAACTTTACATATGAGGAAACTGAGGCTCAGAGAGATTAAGTAATTTGCTCAGGATCACAGAGCTAATAGATAAAGACAAATTTGTACCTATCTATAAAAGCTAAGCTCTTACATTGTTGTGGCAGAATGCACAGGAGAAAGATCAGCCAGCACTCTGAGGGAGGAAAGTTTAACCTTTATTTAGCAGATCTGCTAGTCCAGGGGAATTCCGGATCCAAAGCCTGAACTGAACTCATGGAGGAGGCTCTGGGCTCTGTATCTCCTCCTGTGGCGGGTCCCTGAGGGTCCCCACAGCTCAGACAAGTCAGTCTTGGCGGGGCCTTGGGGGCATGCACCGAAGCTCTGCCCAAGTCAGCTGTGGCAAGGCCCTGGGGTTAGGCTCTGCAGCTCTGCCCAAGTCAGTCAGAGTCGGGAAGTAAGACTACAGTTTTAACCAGATATTGAACTAGGTTGCAAGCCCCCCCACACCCCATTTTCCTTTTCAATATTTAATATCTGAAGATGATCTGAAAAGCACTCTTCTGGGGCTTTACATTAGTTTAATACCTATGCTTAAATTGATGAGAAATCTTGAACAGAAAAAGATATATTGTCTCTAAGAGGTGAAAGGATTAAGAAAAAGAGCATGTATAAGTTTAGTGAATTTAAGGTAAGTCATGATGAGAAGAATAGCTAAGATCTAATGAGCACTAACTAACTATATTACAGATATCACCAAAACACTTAATTCATTAAATCCTCGCAATAACTCTATGAAGCTGGTTTTGTTACAGAAGAGGAAACTGAGGCAGGGAGAGTTTCAGTCACTTGGTCAAGATACACAGCAGGTAAGTAGCAAACATCAGCTACTTACTGGAGAAGACAAGAAAAAAATAAAGAGAAGGAATCTGCAGGATGCCTGCATTCCTGAAAATTCAAAATGAGATGTTATCTCCCAAGAACACAGTTGAAAGTTAGCTATGTTAAGAGTGTCATACTGAAAAAAGCCACAAGCAAAGTGAAGTGAGAGTAAGCAGGGAGAGAGTAAGTACACAAGCTCCAGCTGCATTCACCTTCAGGGAAGGTCGTACAAATGCCTGGGAGGGATTCGTGCATAGAATAAAGGATGCTCCCACAAGAGGCTGGTCTCAGTTGTACACTGTGATTGAATTCTCTCTGCCTGGGAGGACTTCTGAGGTACCATGGAGTCTCTGTAACTCAAACTGACATGGCCTTAGGCTTTAATGTAAAGCAACTAGATATTCGTGATTTTGTGTAACTTCACTTGTTTGTTTTTCCAAATATATTTTATTGATTTTTTTACAGAGAGGAAGGGAGAGGGATAGAGAGTTAGAAACATCGATGAGAGAGAAACATCGATCAGCTGCCTCCTGCACACTCCCCACTGCGGATGTGCCCGCAACCAAGGTACATGCCCTTGATGGGAATCGAACCCGGGGCCCTTGTGTCCACAGGCCGACGCTCTATCCACTGAGCCAAACCAGTCAAGGCAACTTCACTTGTTTTACTAGGATCTGTGCTGCAGGAAGTGAAACCCCAGGTGGAGGGAACAGGAAAGTACTTGCTCCCTGTGGGGCAACTGGACAGTTTGGACATGCGGCTGCCAGGACTCTCCCCCTGGCCTTGCTACCACGGAGGCAACTGGAGGCCACTCAGTGGGGTGAGGAGAGGGAGATGCAGGGAACAAAGATGAACACGAGAGTGCCTTTCGTTGTGAGATTATGGAATCATCCCAAACACACAATTTTGAATCAAAAAAGCAAATGCTACAAAAGTCTGCCTTCGTGGGATACAAAACGGGTGATGTTCCCCAGGTAGCTCAGCTCCGCCCCTGCCTCCCAGGGATGAACTGTTATCACATCTCTGAGGGCTGGCATTTCCCAGGAAGCTTGGCAGCAAGGGACCAAGCCCCAGATCACCCCTAGTAGCTGAGCAAGAGGACAGATGAACTTACGTCTTTTCCTCACCGTTTACATTAGGCTGCAGCCGAGGAAGGGGTATCAGCTCAGTAGGCAGAGGACAGCCTTGCTCAGCTTTCTTGCTGGAAAAAAAAAAACAACACTGGGGGAATGTAAGGATTACTTTTTTACTTTAGATTTGTTTCTTATACACTAGTAGAGAACTGGTAGACTGGGAAGTCAAATCCATAGGTAAATATTTTAAATATTAATAGGCTATTACATATGCTCTAGGAATAGAATTGAAAAAAATACATCAAATGGCAGGTATTAGAAAATTAGAGAAACTGCTTTTACCAGTTTGGGGTGGGGGGACTAAGAAATGATGGTTTCTAGTATATTTTTTTTATTTCTCTGTGTTTCTTGACTACATAGAAATTCATGTCTTCAAAAAGCACTCAATGATGACAATAATGAGAACAACGCAGTGCATTCTGCTTTGATTACTGCAGGAATGAAACGATACTACCTCAATTATCTGCTTACCACTAGAAGTATCTGATGTAACTAGGTATATCTTTAATACAAAACATATGAGTGTTTTCTCTGTAAAATGCTAGTACATATATATAATGTGACACTGGAGGTGGCATGGTAATTAAGGGTATAATTGCTGTAATTACTGATGGAATTACTCATATTCCTCTATGCTACTTTTTCTAATTATCTTGGTTTAATGAAAATGTGTATTTTTGCATTGAACAGGATGTGGCCACATTTGGCTGCCTGCCTGGGATGATGTACAGTGTCTGTCCCTTGGATGATCACAGAGCAGAGGGGTCACCACTTGTTTGCAGGAAGAAGGGGTTTCAGAAACACAACAGGCAATTGAAATGCATGTCATGAACATTCTGCAAAAAGCTCACAGATGGGTTTCATTGGAAGAAATATAACAGTAGGGGGGACATTATCCTAGAAGGAGCCCAATAGCTTTACAGTCTTCAGACTTTAATGAGAATGACTTGTAAAAATAGTACAGAGGTCTCATACTGTTTGTCCATTCTTATTCCAGTCCCTGACTCAAAAACGGATTCAAACAGCTCCATTGTTCCTGGTTTTGCTACCCTCTTTATCACAAGAATGAGGCCCAAAAGATTGGTACTTTAAACGTTCTGAAAATTGTAAGACTTGAAAGAAACCTACTGTCTGTCTTTTTACTTCATGCATTTTAAATGCATGGAAATCTAATTGGCAGACTATACTGCTTATTTATTCATTTATCAACCACCTGGACAGAGGTTAAATAGATACCCATTGAATAAAGACTTTACAGTCACTCAAAAAATGTATCTAATATATTCCATTTATTCTAGGAGTAAAAGGTACTTTGTAAATTCAGATGATTATCGGTATCATGCTACTTGGTACCACCAATCAGAAGAGCTATAGTATTTAACTCTATTAAGTTTATGAAAACCTTATAGAAGGAAAACACAACTAAAACCCGGAAAATTATCTTGATTGAATCACTCAACAATTCTAAAGTTCTGCTTTCAGGATCTGTATGAGTTTCCTACTGCTGCTGTTAACAAGTTACCACAATATTGGTGGCTTAAAACAATTCAAATTCATTACTTTACAGTCACGAAGGTCAGAAGTCTAAACTGGGTCAAGAGAGCTCCGTTCCTCCTGAAGTTCTGGGGGAGACTTTGCTACCTTGCCTTTCCAGCTTCTAAAAGAGGCCCATCACTGGCTCATGGCCTCACCTCCCCCACCTCTGCATCTCCTCCAACCATCCTGCCTCATGCTCCATAGACCCTGGTGATTACACTGGGCTCATCCAGATAATCCCAGATAATCTCCCTCTTAATTACACTGCAAAGTCCATTTTGCCAAGTAAGGTAACAAACAGGTTCTAGAGATTAGAAAACGGACATGGTGAAAATCAATCAACAAAAACCTCATTTAAAATGGAGTCAGGAGGCTAGAAGATAGAACTCTCAGGCCCCTCTCACTCAACACACACTACTGACCCCAACAGGAAGTGATGTACCTGCATCTCCAACAGGCAGTGAGACTACTTTAATACTCAACAGGAGGAAGAAAAGATTCTTCCCTGCCCAGTAACAGCTAAGCCAATGGGAGACCGCCATAACTCAGCCAATGAAAAGCCACTATACTTTGAACTTTCAGTTTCCTCCAATGGGCCCTCTTTTTACAATAGCCCCTCCTATGTACATAAAAATAAAAAAGTGTTCCTCCTCTTTCTTTCTCTGGACTAGCAGGTGGTTCACCAATAGATCACATGTCCTAAATTGCAATTCTTTGTTCTCAAATAATCTCATTTTGCTGGAGATATAGCTGCCTGCCTATCTGTTAAAGGTCAGCATCATTGACAGATTAAAAATGGTGGCAGAATAAGTGGATGCTGCACGGACATGCTTCCAGAAACAAACTGGTATTACAACTAAAATACAGAAAAATTTTCTGAATAATCAACGGAAAACTCACAGGAGAGAACCCTGACACCCAAGGACTGAAAGGGGAGACCACTAGACTGTTTTTCTTGAAATATTAATGTTTATTGCATGGAAAAAACAAAACAGTCAGCATCGTTGAAGGCCCACTATTTCACAAGGCCTCTTTTTAATTTAAAATTGGAGGCAGAGAGATCCTTCGCCTGTGTTTCTTTTAATTTACTTTTTATTTTTAAGTCAATAGCTTCTGAAAGAAAGACAATTACTACTTTTTTCCACAGAGGACGAATAGCGAAAGGAGATACTAGTGTTGTTTTTTTAAATAATTCATCATTTATGTCTATTCAAATCTCTTTGTTCGCTTGATGACATCATAATGAAGAAACATAAAATTCAAAAATGTTCAGGTGTCATGTGAACAAGCCCTCACCTACCAAAAAAAGCATCTCTGAATTAAATGACTGCACAGAAAAAGAGCACCCAAATTTGAAGCCAAGCCTCCAGGCCTTTCTTCTTAGGGCTCCTTTACCTGTTCCAAGTAGTCTCCCCAGGTGAATAGATGGAAATGATCTGTATTTAGCTCATCAAGTGTTTAATTATAAATGAGTGCTTCAGAAGTTTTTATGGTGTATGACTACAGAATAATGCTTCTGGTATATTTCCAGTTAAAGAGCCAATTTTTCATTGCACCAAAATATATTGTACTAATGAAACAATCTGACCAAAAACAACAATTTAATCAATTCACTTTATTTATATATTTTCTGAGAAAGTAAACATCCTCCTGTTTTTTTAAGTTTGTTAAGAAAAGTTAACTTTTTAAAACTGATAATAGAAATCATCATGAAGGGTGTTCTTTTTTCTCTTTTCTTAAAAGTAAAATTTACTTCAAAAATCCTCACAAAAGATAACTATTCGTTTTTATCTGAAAAACACTGGATCTTTAAACTTAGAGTTTTTTCACTGAGCTTGCCGCAAAGCAAAATTTCTTATAGTACTCAACCAACTTGTGAAATATTTTGATCTTATATAAGCTTTCACTGATTCCCAGCAACAGCATTTTGACAAACAAGTTTAGCATTGAAACCAACAGTTGCAATTCCGTAGAAAGTTCTCTCTTTTTCATTTTAATAACATTTCTGCACAAATTCCAAAACGATAGGGTGCCTGTTATTCTGGGTCCAATGTTCATTACTCATGTCTGCTTGGGCATTATTGGATGTATACTTTGGAATAAAGAGGGCTTTTACAATGTCTAATATGATGTCCTTTGCAATCTGTTATTAGCCTGTGTATCGCCTTGCCAGTTAATCATCCCATTATAGATTCTGAAAATCTGACAACCCAGAGGGATTGAAATGCAGTGTGCTACAAGATTAGAAATAGCTACATGAAAATGAAGTAAAGAAACCAAATGCTGTAGATTGGTACATAAAATAAAGGCTTCGTAAAATGTTTGTTCTAGAGATCTCTCAATACTTTTACCATAAAAGAAACAAAGGCAGCAAACAAGAAAGGAGACAGGACAAGCCAATTACTACATCAATTACTTGACCACGTATACGGAATAAAAACTAGGAGTTTGTACAGGAAGCTATCCAACATAATTGAAAATCAAATTAATATATACATCAGCTCTCTATTTACCTGCCCTGTCTTTTGAGAGCAGAAAAGACCGATACATTTCTCCAGGCATCCCCAGAAGTACACAATGCCATTAATCTCGCCTTGTTTATGTGCTATGGTTGGTCCTCTTGCTTCTGTGTACTTTGCTGCCATCTCCAGGAAGCTGTGATGACGAGAGCAGCCCAACCTGATCGGTTGTTATTGCCCTAGAAAAATGTTCTAGGATTTTCCAAAGTGATTGTCTGTATGTGGAAGCATCTTTAACAGAAAAACCTTTGGAAATTCAAAACGTTTGCAGCTATCGATAACTATTAGATCACAAATACAATTATCTATTGGTTATTTATTTGGAAATAAAAGTCACACTTTAAAAGGAGAGTTTCATTAGCAAAATGCCAAATTCAGAATAAATCCCATTAAAGTAGCACATCTAATTTCCACAGTTAAAGATAATAGAAAAAAATAGTTTGTCGTGAATATCTTTATTGCTATAACAATCCAAAGAATTAATGGCAAACTGCTCTGCTCTGAATATGTTGAATTACTATAAATTCAAATCCCTTTTTAGCAAATGAGTTCTTTAAAAAAGACAGCACACACTGAAATTCCATTTGTGAGTGACTATAAAAGAGGGTCATAAAAAATCTGAAGGCAGGGATTTATATTTTTCCTAGAAAACATCCTAAATCCAGGGTCAGGGGAGTTCTAAGGCTCTTAAATTTGCAAAACTTCTGCCACTAGGGTCGTTACGACTGGAACAGACCCCCTTGGCTACAGGTAAAGAAAAAAGAAAACAATTCGTATGGCCCTCAGGGAAGGTTCAGGATACTTCCCAGCAACAAACACACAGCAAGTACACTGAGGTTCAGTGTCATGTACAACAAGGCACAGCTCTGTTCACTGTCAGTGTACTGAACAGCAAGGACACAGCTGATAACATGCTCTGACCTTGATTTACTCTGCTTGATCAGGAATATGCAATATTATAAATAATTGCATAATTCCTTATTCTATTGATAACATCTGATGTATAAACAATG